GAAAAAGCTTCCCGTGTAAAACACAAGTTATGAAAGTGCCACTGAGCACCCAATTTGCCCAAATTGTGATGTATTTATGATAAACGTCTAACCGCCTCAGAGCTTAAAACGTCATTTTAAGGCCGCCACGGAGCGCCAAGGCTATATCGTGCTCATCCGCCCCCGAGCAAACAGCACAGCCAACCGCTTCAAAGCAAGAGGTCCAAACCTAATCGCTTCAAAGCACAAACGCAACCGCCCTAAAGCAAAAAGGCCCGGACCTCAAAGAGCACAAGTAAATAAAAGCATCCATAACAGGCATTCCAGAAAACGCCCAAAATATTCACTGCCCAAGGCAGATTTAGTTTACTACACCAGGAAATTAAAACGATTACAAAGCAAGTAAAAAAGACAAGGTAATCAGGCGGCTTCTTCTTCAAACTTCGTCATCATGGACTTCCTCCCTGGCACCCTCGGCGACTTCTACATTCCCCGCGGACTCGCCATCCCTCGCGGTCTCCGCAGATTCGACCATAGTAGTTGCTGCATTCTCCAGAGGGGGCGTCGCAACGTACTCGGAGTTCACGTCCTCGTCGCTCCAAAACTCGACCGCGTCCCATATCGAGTTGGTGTCCCACACCACCTCCGGATACTCACGGCGGAACCAATGACGAATTGCAGCCACTGTGTCGCGGAGCAACTTCTTGTACTTCGCATCATTAGCAATGCGGAAGTCATCGGAGGTCCAGAAGGTGTCCCTAGCTTCCTGAGCGGCCCTCAGTAAGGCAGCCTCATGAGCATCCTGCAGATCGGACTTTTCTGATCGGAGGTTAGACAGCTCAACCTGCAGGGCGCTTTCTCGAGCCAGAGACTCATTCAAATCGGACCGGAGGCGTTCCGCGTCCGCTTCCATCTTCTTAGTCAACTCCTTGCCCGCCTCGATCTGGGCATCCTTCTCCTTCATCGCCTGCTCCTGCTCCTTCAAGATGTCCTCCCGCACTTCCGCCATTACCCCCTCGCGGCCCTCCTTGAGTTGGTCCTCCAGCTTCAACACCTGTGTCTGAGCGTCCAGCAATCTGCTCTCCAGGCGGTCATTTTCCAGCATAAGCTGGTTCAAACCAAATTGGGTCTGTACAAAGAAAGAGTTAACACAAGGATAGCAAAAAAAAAAAAAAAAAAAAAAAGGGGGAGATCGTCGTACCGCAAAGAACAGACGTGACGTAGTGGCCGCCAGGCGCTTTGTATCAGAAGTCAGCACAGGAGTTCCAGCAGTTGGGGTGAAGTCACTAGGGACCGCCAGACCTTCCGATATAACGTGCATTGCACGTTTGGCAGCCGCTGGGTACAGAGACGCTTGCGACGAAAAAGAGACGGAGGTATCAACAGATGTTCTCTTCGGTCTCTTAGGCGCAACGTAGGCGTCTAACGGAGTAGAGCTCTCGGCGAGCACTCCCTTCAACCGAGGCTCTCCAGCGGTCGCCCTCAAATCCTTTGAGGTCGTGATGTCAAGGGCCCGTTTGGCTGACGTCCTCGGCAGAACAGGCTCAGACAGTTTCAGCACCCCCGTTTGACTAGCCACAAGCTGCTTCTGAGACGGGGGAAGTTGAGAAACCGCCGGGACAGGGTGAACAGCCGCAGCAGCAGGGGAGGCAGGAGCATTGGTTCCAGGCTTCGGCGGTCGTGCGGAAGACGCATACCATCGCGTACCTGAAGAACGAACCAAGTTAAAGACAAAAGGCGTGAGAGGACCACTTAATACAGAAAGTAAAGCAACTAACCGTGAAAACGGCGAATAATGTCCAAGGCATTATCGTCCCCCTTTGGGGGGAGACGAATTTGAAAAGCATTCGTGAGCCGCTTCAACAAGGGTTTGACAAGACCAAGACCGTCAGTATCGGTGTTCCAATCCTTCTTGTCTCCAGACGCAAAGCCTGTGGGCGGTTCAACCTCTCCAGAGTACCACTTACCCGCAGGACGAGCAAAGAAGTACTCCTTAAACCAAGGGGAATCCAACTTAGGCGCCCCGCTAACGATCCCAACCTACGACTCGCGACGGTAGCAGGACCAGCAATTCTCGGAGCCCCTCATCTTGTACAGCTGGCGAAACGCGTCAAAAGAGGGCGTCTCGCCTGCCTTGGCACAGGCCGCTCTAAAGGCAATCGAATGAAAAATTATACCAGGAGACAAGCGGCCCAGCGTGCAGTTCAGAAAAAGGAGCGTCCGGGTAAGGATAGGGTCGATGGGAAAAGTCAGGCCCATCCGAAGGTGCTCCACGTGTATGGGAATCCACCCACCCGGGCAAGAACCTGACCGCCCAACCGGAGAAAGGGCCGCATAATCCCAGTCGGTGGGAAGGCGATGCGTTTTCAGCTGCCGCAGAACTTGCCGGGGGTTGTATGCAGCCTCGTTAGGCAGTCCCTGCTCGTATGCGCTTGACGGCACGGGCTCCCCCTCCCACATGTCCGCGTGTAACCGTACGCGGTAGGTGGTGTCGCGGACGGCCTGGAAAGCGCCCACCGGCAGAGCGTCAGATATAGTTAGCGATGGGGACAACTCCTTTTCGGCGTCCCCGGGGCAGTCCGTATGGTTAGCGGGCGGTTCACTCTCCGCCTCCGAATATTCAAAGTCGCCGAGGTTGTCCCCAACCAAGGAAGACGCTCCACGTCGTCCGCCCGACGTTCCCACGTCAAAAGCCGTGTCCAGTTCTACCCCTAAAAGGTCATAACGAAGACCGTCTAAGTACACCTCACGCCGTGCGAATGATGTCAATTCTAAGTCCTAAGTCTATGAATAAACCGTGCAAAGGTAAAGTCTAAAGTTACCTGGATTCACTTGCCGGTTGCCAGAGGGCGCTCCGCCAGATCCTCCTCCTGACTTCGAGGACCGAGGAACGCTGCCGCCGGCACTGGAAGTGCGAGCGTCGCCGGAGGCAGTAACCGCGAGGTCACTGGAAGTTGTGACGGTGACGACGTCGCCGGAGAGGTTCCGATTTTGGCTATCGGAATGACTAGTACTTTGCGATTCGATTGCCATCTGCCTTCGAAGTTTTCTTTTCTCACGTTTCTGACGTCGTCGGAGTTTAACGAGGAAAGCTGCTCTCGGCGGAGACAAAGAAGAGTTGTCTCGGAGATAGGAAGACAGGGAAAAACGAGAGCACCGAGCAATTTTGACGAGAGAATCGGGAAAGAAGTGAGATACTGGGAGAAGGAAAACGAGGAAGAAGAAGAAGAAAGAGATATAAATATGCAAGGAAAGGGGCAGCGAAGCGACGGTTGAAGAGACCTAGGGCAAACCCTACTCTATTTAATTCAAATTGCGGGCAGGTGATTGGACGTAAAGTTGCCCGCTGTCAGAGCACGAAAGCCGAGACCAGACACGTGGCGCGACTTATGGGCGGCATAGCGAGGCGTGGAAGGCCAATCGACAAGCGACTATCAGGGGACAAGCTAACAAGCTGAAGGTCAAGAGGAGGTGGACAGCGAAACCGCTTAAAAGCCCACAATGGATGCTTGGAAGTCTTCCAGATGGATGCTCAGGAGTAGCGAACAAAAAGGGGTGAACAGCTCAACCGCTAAAAATACGGAACGACCCGAAAGCCCGCTTTCGGGTCGTATCAACAAGAAAAGAGGACGGCCAAAAAAGGGGTGGACCTGCAGGGCGCGTTCGGAATTAACCAATCCATGCTCCGAAGAGGGGTGGACAGCGCAGTTGAGCAACGCAACTCATTATAGGAGGCTGTCGACCAGAAAATCACGGATCTGCGGCGGCCAGGGGGCAAAAGGGTAGACAGCTGCTAATGAAAGGACCGCTCAGCTACCAAAGGACATAAAGTAGCCGCCAAAATCCTTAGCTTTTCACGACTAAGGGGCAATTGTTGGGCCATAGCTGAGCAATATAGGGCTTGGAAGCCCAGAAGGGTAAGGCTCGTCCAAAGGGCCCAAGAAGACGTCTGGGGGAACGTAACACACAAGAAAACAGATAAAGGAAGGCGGCCATACTAGGACATGACAGGTACTAGGACGCCTGACACAAAGAGCCGTTAGGGGCATAATGGGAGATCTTCCTAGGATACTCACCTCGAATACTGCAGGACTAAGCATTAATTGCCGCCGTAGGCGGTCTAAATAAAGTAAGACAAGGTATAGGGCGCCTGACATGGTCATTAATGCTCGAAGCCCAGCCCAAACCACTATAAATACATTCATATCTGCATTGATGGGAAACCAACTACTCTCTCTCTCTCTAAACATTACTACAAGATTCTCTCTCTCTCTAACTTGAGCTTTGGAGGGTGTCCTGGGTGATCACCCAAGGACCCTTGTTTTGCAGGAGCTTGGAGTCCCCCATCATCCGGATCAGTCGCCTTGCTAGTTCCGCAAACCCGCCTAGTACATTCTAGGCTCAAACAATAGCATTGTAAAATTTCTCTTCTAACATCTATAGTATTCTCTCGGTATTCTACAATGCATTCGTGATTTGAGGGTGAATGAGTTTAGTAGAGTACAACGACAAATTGATTGAAAAACTACCATGCAATGCATTAACTCATTTCATCTCCACTTGGCACTTATTGGAACAATTCCAAATATACCATGCAATCCATTCAATTCCAAATATACCACCCTTTATTGGAACAAAGTAGAGTGGATTGGTATTGCAAAGGATGAAAAATCTAAAAATCCAAAGCCCACCCAATTTCAATACCAATGTGGGCTCCAGAAACCCAAAACCATGAGAGAAAAAAAACTAAAATTCCAAAGCCCAATAGGCGGGCCCAGCAGTTCAACCACACCACGACGGCCCACGGCACCATTTCTAAACGCTGTCGTCTCGTCCTCATCCCCTCCCCACATTGGGCCTTAGTTCACGAATCGGATAAAGATCAAGAGGAAGAGACGGAATCCAAATAGGGTTTGTTTATGGACCCGAAAGTCCATACTAAACTGGATTTGATAATTCTCTCTCTCTCTCTCTCTCTCTCTCTCTCTTTTTATCCCTCTCCCTTATCTCTTCAGATGTAAGGAGAAAGAAGAGTAAAGCGAGCTTTTCCCCTTTCTCGAGCCCTCAGATCCAATTAAGCCCTTCTTCAGCTGGATCTGTTTGGCTCCTCAGCTAAAAAAAAAAAAAAGGCCCAAATCCTTTCGCTCCTCCCTTCCATCCCCAGAAAATCCACAGATCTCTCAGTCTCTCTCTATCGCGGTCTCGACCCTCCATTGCTGTTCCCTCGTGCGTCTCTTCGCAGTCTGTGGGTTTGTTTAGGGGTGGGGGAAAAAAATTGGAAGTATAACCAAAACCCTAGATCTCGCAGAGCCCATCGGAGCTTGGTTGGGCCCCCGATCTTCCTACCTTCCGTCCTCTCTCTCTCTCTCTCTCTCTCTCACAGTCGCGCGAAGATCAGCGTTTCCCTCCCTTTTTTCTTCAATTGTCCGGTAAATTAGCTCTTAACCCTAGCTTTTCTCAGCTCTTAATTTGATAGTTTTTGTTCCCCTTTCGCTTTCCATTTTGATTTTGATTGGTTCCGTGTTTCTGTGGTCGTTGAATTGCGTTATTGTTCAATTCGTTTCATTTCTTGAGCTCGTTCCGGTTTTCAATTATGGTGTTCTTGAAGCTGCGCTGTTGCTTCGGGGCCGGCGTTTCCTTTTGGTGTGCGAAATTTAACGAGTAGTTCTGTGAATTTCGTATCTCGAGCTTCAGAGTTTTCTGGGGTTTCGAAATTTGGAACTAATTTTTTGAAAAAAATTGGAGGTAAATGATTTTCGTTTTTGGAGGGAAAAACGACGGTCGGCCAGTCAGTTGGCGATGGGTGCCCTTTGTTTGTTTCGTTATCGATTGGGTTTAATCGTTCTTTCTTCCGGGCTTTGTTCGTTCCTTTCTTTCGGGTGTGCTTTTTTTTATGGCTGTTCGGCCGGCCGATGACAAGCCCAACCGAGGGGAAAAGGAATTGGCAGTAGATCTGCTTCAACCCTTCGTTGACCCGGCTTAGCCTGCTTGCGAAGCGCTTGCCCACTTTACCCTTTAACTGCCACGTGAGGGCGCTAGTTGTTGTTGTTGTTGTATGTTGTAACTATCGATTATGGGCCTACGCTATTGGTGAACCCTTCTTGGAAGGCCCGATAGCGATCGAGTTCGTAAGAGATTTGCTGGTTGACGGTTGTTCTTCTTATTCATAGAAGAAAAAAGGCGTCGCCTTTAGGCCAGTAAGACTCGAATGCCTTTCGTATGTGTTTGTCTTTGCTTAATTGCTTCCCTCCCTTTTTTCTTTTGCTGTTATACTGTGTTTTTTTGGTTGCAAGTTAGCGTTAGCATTAGCATGTCTCTTTGGTAGTTAAGCTATTTGTTGGAGGAAACATAAGCTCATGTGGTCTGAACGTGGGCAGAAGTAGTTGGCGATAGCTGATTCATCAAAATGGGGATACTGGCTGAGTTATTTGTCAGTTCATTTGATTGCTTCTCGCAGTGGATGTTATACAATCACAATGGATGTTAAACAATTCTTGTCTGTTCATTCACATTGGTCTCCTAATGTGTTTGTCAACTTTACTACAATAATGTGTTTTACCATCAAATGATGCTATCTTAATAGTTGAGGGAAGTTTTCACTTGTGTCCTAATCTGGGTTCTCTGTGAATATATTTTGCGCATTGGTTGATGATGAGGATTTGCTGTTCACTTACAGCTACAGTGTATTTCATTGGGGTACGTGAGATTTTTGCTGAATGATTGAAGTGAATCTGTGTTTTGTTCCATAAAGCAGGATTTTAATTTGGTGAGAGAGAATGACACCTGCTGAAGAAAGTAGCACTGGACTGTCAGACACTCCAGCTCCAGCTGTTGAGGGAAGCAAGCAGCCCTCGTCCCCTCAAGAAGGAGAAAAGAGTGTAGCAGCCCCTGAAGAGAATAATCAGACAGTGCCATCACAAGATGAGACAATTGTGTCAAAGGAAGAGGATAATCAAAAGGTGGTTCCAAAAGTAGAGGACAACCAAAAGGTGGCGACTCAAGAAGAGGATAATCAAAAGGTGGCACCACAAGAAGACAGTGATAAGATGGAGTTGCAGGAAGAGAAGAACCAAGAGTTGGCAGCTCAAGATGACAAAGAGAAGATGGAGTCACAAGAGCAGAACAATGAATTGGTACCCCACGAAGAAGATACAAATCAGAAGCCTGTAACTGAAGAAGGGAGCAACGCCCAAACAGATGTGTCACAAGATCAGAGTAATCTGACATCAGTCCCAGACGAGCAGAAAAATCAGGAGTTGCCATCACACGAAGAGAACACCCTGGAACCGGTGCTACAAGAAGAAGATAGCAGTCAGAGGTTGTCTCCACAAAAAGAGCACGATCAGACATTGGTATCACAGGAAGAGAACAGTGGGATGTTGGTGCCACGGGAGGAGTACAAAGAGACCGTGGTGACCGAGGAGGAAGACAGTGAGATGGCAGAACCCCCTCAGGAGAGCAGTCAGATAGCGGTGCCCCAGGAGAACAGTGAGATGGTGGTTACAGAAGAGAAGAGTGAGCTGTTGGTGCCCCAGGAGGATCACAATGAGATGGGGGTAACAGAAGTAGAGATGACTGAGGTAGCCGAACCCCAAGAGGATCACAATGTAACGGTGGTGACTGAAGATGCGAAGAGTGAGGTGGTAATGCACCAGCAAGTGAACAGTGAGATTCTGGTGACTGAGAGTGAGAACAGTCAGAAGGTGCTGCCCCAGCAGGAGAACAGTCAAATTATGGTGGCTGAGGATGCGAACATTGATGTGGCAGCCCCCCAAGAGGACAGCACTCAGTTGGTAGTGCCCCAGGAGGAGAACACTCAGATGCCGACATCACACGCCAACACTCAGATTGATAACAGCAGCCAAATGATGTCGACACACGAACACCACATGGTGGTGTCTCATGAAGAGAACCACCACCAGATGCTGATGCCACATGATGAGAACAACAATGATCATATAATTGAATGCAACCATCATCACATGGGCGACCAGCTGATGCTGATGGAAGAAGATAACCACAACAACCAACTGATGATCCATCATGATGATGATAACAACAATCAGCTGATGCTCCCCCATGATGATGAAAACAGCGACCTCGTAACTCCCGACTCGCGGCCTAACAAGCGAAGGAGGAAGAAGTCCGTGGTCTGGGAACACTTCACCATTGAGACAGTTGCGGATGGATGTAGAAGAGCTTGTTGCAAGCAGTGCAAGCAGAGTTTTGCATACAGCACGGGTTCCAAGGTCGCTGGGACCAGTCACCTGAAGCGCCACGTAGCAAAGGGCACATGTCTAGCCTTACTCCGGAACCACGGACATCCTGAAATGCTGACGTATAATAGTACCCCTGGAGGTTCAACTAGCGACCCACCAAAACGCCGGTATAGATCTTCCTCATACTTCGCCTTTGACTCTGACCGATGCCGCCATGAGATTGCAAAGATGATCATCATGCACGATTATCCACTTCACATGGTTGAACATGCCGGATTCATGAATTTCGTCTCAAACCTCCAGCCTCGATTTGGAATGGTGAGCTTCAACACTGTCCAGGGGGATTGTGTTGCTACTTACTTGAGGGAGAAGCAGAACGTGATGAAGTTTATTGAAGGACTCCCTGGACGCGTTACCCTTACTCTGGACACGTGGACTTCCTGTGATAGCTTAGGCTATGTATTTATCACTGGGCACTTTATTGATAGTGATTGGAAGCCGCAGAAGAGGATGCTGAACGTAGTGATGGAGCCGTATCCTGATTCAGATGCTGCCCTGAGCCATGCAGTGGCGTGTTGCCTTTCTGATTGGAGCTTGGAAGGTAAACTGTTCTCCGTCACCTTTAACCACCCCGTGGGAGAAGCTGGTCTCGAAAGTCTTCAATCTCTGTTGTGTATCAAGAATACACAGATTCTCAGCGGCCAGCTGGTGCTTGGCAACTGCATCTCTTACACCTTGACCAGCATGGCGCAAGAGTTATTGTCAGCATGTCAAGATCTTGTGTCGAAAATCCGCGACAGCGTGAAGTATGTGAAGACCCTCGATTCCCACCAGGCGAAGTTTCTTGAGCTCAAAGAGCAGCTCCAAGTCCCAACTGAAAAGAATCTCCGACTCGACGACCAGGCTCAGTGGAACACGACGTATGAAATGCTGCTTGCTGCTTCGGAATTGAAAGAAGTATTTTCATGCTTGGATACCTATGATCCTCACTACAAGGAAGCACCATCGATGCTGGAGTGGAAGCAAGTTGAAACGATTTGCTCACTCCTGAAATATCTGGTTGATGCAGCTAACCTTCTCTCATCCTCGACCAACCCAATTGCAATCACTTTCTTCCATGAAGCCTGGAAGATTCAAAATGAGCTTTCTCGACTAGCTGCTATCGGAGATCCTTTCATCAACAACTTCATCATAGGACTGCAGGACAAAATCGAGAAATATATCAAAGATTGCAGCTTGGCTTTAGCAGTTGCAGTAGTCATGGACCCTCGGTTTAAGATGAAGCTGGTCGAGTTCAGCTTCTCGAAGATATATGGTGATGATGCTCCTGCATACATAAAGATTGTCGATGATGGGGTCCATGATTTGTTCAAGGAGTACGTGGCGCTGCCTCTACCACTGACACCAACTTACGAAGAAAATGCAGACCCCAATCTAAGGAATGACGAGAACCAGCTCGGGGCCGCTGTGGACAACGGCCTGGCAGATTTCGATGTGTTCATCATGGAGACCACGAGCCAACAGACGAAGTCGGAGCTGGACATGTACCTGGACGATTCATTGCTCCCGAGAGTGGCGGAATTCAGTGTGTTGGGATGGTGGAGGCAGAACAAGATGAAGTATCCAACACTGTCGAAGATGGCTCGAGACATACTGAGCATTCCCGTGTCTACTGCAACAGCGGAGAACGTGTTCGACACTGTGCTGCCGAGAGAGATAGATCGGTATAGAACCTCATTGAGGCCCGAGACTGTCGAGGCACTCGTGTGTGCTAAGGATTGGCTTCGTCATGGGGCGGCTGCGGCAGCAGCAGGTGTTGGACCGAGTGAGTTAGTGGTGAAGATGGAGTTTTAGGTTTGGTAGGAATGTATGAGAGCTTATGTGAGTAGTGATTATGGCTCCTTTCTTTTGTGTATCATTAGTTGGACAAGGTAGTAATGTAGGTTGGGTCCTGGATTTGTAATTTTGGTCGACGGAAGGTGTACTTCATTTGCTAATGGCGTTGTTACGCTTGTGTAGCTAATGGTTAACTCAGACTTAATTTTGTCTTAGTGTGTCTCAGCCTATTGATTTAGACTATATTGATCACTATAAATGTGATATTCACAAAAAAATGATCACTATAAATTTGAGTAACATTAGATTTAGAACTACTAGATAAAACCTACAAAACGATACATACTTTAGTTAAAACTTACAAGTAACAAATACACAAGAGAAAGCAGCAGAAAATTCTAGCATCCTGAACCGATGTCGATTGGAATCTGATTCTGATCCACACTGAATCCCTAATTCTGGTATCCTGCAGAAATGGCGGTCTCTCCCTCCACAGAACTGAGAGTTCTAAGGGTCTCCCTGATGTCCAGAATCCTGGAATGCGAAAAATCTCCTTTGGTGAACTTTTCAAAGGTATCATTCACTTCAACCATGCTATGGCCTGGCTCTTTCTTCAGGCCACTAACCTTCAGCAACTTCTTAGTCTCTGCGACACCATGCCACTTCTCATCCGTGGCATACAGATTCGACAGCAATACATAAGGCGAGGTAGTCGCAGGCTCGAGTTTCAGAAGCCGTTTACCTAGTCTTTCTCCCATGGGAACTTCTCCATGCAGAACACACGCAGCGACCAGACTACCCAGCACAATTGGATCCCCGCCAAACTCAAACCTTTCGATGTAATCTTCCGCCTCCTTTAATCTCCCAGCCCTTCCCAGCAGATCGATGATGCAAGAGAGATGCTCCGTCTCAGGAAAGATCCCGTAGCTCTCAACCATGGAATCAAGGCACAGTTGACCTTCTCCCACCAACCCAGAATGATTGCAGGCCGTTAAGAGAGTGAGAAATGTAACGGAATCTGGTCTCATTCCCTCTGCTTTCATGTCCTGGAAAAGCTCAAGCGCCCTGTTTCCAAGCCCGTGATTCCCATATCCAGCGATTATGGTGTTCCATGAAACCAGATTCCGGCTGCAGCCCATCCTGTTGAATGTGTTGTATGCATTGACTATTGAACCACATTTGGCATACATGTTCATAAGAGAATTACTGACGCCAACGTCATTATGCAGCCTTGTCCTGATCAGATGACCATGAATCTGTTTACCATGTTTTAGTGATGCTAGCCCTGCACAAGCAGCAAGAGCACCAGAATAGGTGAAATCATCGGGCTTCAAGTCGTGATGATCAGCTATCATAACTCGGAGTACTCTTAGTGCTCTCACGTGATCGAAGCAATTAGAACAAGTGCTCAAGATTGTGTTCCATGATATCAAATCCCGGTCTTTGATTGTTCTGAAAACTTTCTCTGCTTCATCTATCAGCTTGAAGCTTGAGTACATCCCAATGATGACATTGCCAATGAAAGCAGTAGACTCCAAATTCAGCTTCATTGCTTGACAATGCAATGCAGCACCAAATTGCTGATCAGTAGAATCACTGCAAATTTTCAGAATTCCAGCGAATGTGAATTCGTCCGGGAAAAGACCCTGTCGTTGCACCTGGCTGAAAACTTTGAACCCATCAATGGATTGACCATTATCAGCAAACCCAGAAATCAAAGCATTGTAAGAGACGAGGGTAGGGTCTGAAACCCCAGAGTGGACCAATGACCCATCACTGCACCGACCACATTTCATATACATCGAGATGAGCGCATTGGCCACAAAAGAAATGGAAGTACAACCCAACTTCAAGGATTGAGCGTGAAGTTGCTGCCCCTCGACCAGCGCCGCGAGACCTGCACATGCGCTGATGACACTGGCGAATACATACTCGTTGGGGAGAAAAGAACACATCTGGGAATAGAGTTCCAGTGCCAACCAGTGTTCGGCAACCTGGTCATAGCCAGAAATCATGGCCGACCAGGAAACAAGGTTTCTCTGCGGCATTTCGTCGAACACTTGTCTAGCAGAAGACATCTTCCCGCATTTGGCATACACGTTGAGGACATGGTTGGATACCACGACATCCGAATGGAGGCCGGACTTGTAAGCAACGGCTTGGAGGGCGAGACCTCGACTGTAGGCCTTCAATTTCGCGCATTGATGCAGCAAGAGGCCAATGGCTCCCGTTGTGTGAGACATCAGTCATCCTCGAGTTCTGAAGAAATTAAAACGCTGCTTCAGTCGGTTATCCTTCTGTCCCTGACGATGAAGATAGCCGGTCGAAGAGACCGACGAAAAGCCGGTAGCGGCGACCGGCAAGAGTAAACGAGACAACAATCAGACAGAGAGAGAGAGGTTGAAGAAGTGATGAAGAAACGGAGATGGAGTGGGCCTCTACTGTATGGGCCTTTTGGTGTTTCTTCTGCATCTCATCGGCCCGCAATTGCAAAGCCCAATTGCGGCGAAGCCTATAAAAACAAAGTTAGGGTGTTGTCACTGACGGTTCCGCAATCCTTCTCCACAATACAAACGGAATAGCTGCCTGCAAGTTCTCCCCCAAAAGCCCTAGAAAAAGCCAATCCTTCCTTTCCTTCAGCCTCCATTGCCTCCGCTACTCTCCCGGAGATCTGTTCTGATTGACGCTCTCCGCGTTTCGTTGTCCTTCGCTGTTTCTTTCGGTATCTTTTGGAGGTGCTCTTTTCTGCTTCTTCGCGTGTTCGTTATTGTTCCCGTTTGTTTTGTTCACCGTAGCCGGAAAGGGTCCCGATCTTGCGATTCTTGTTGGCTGATTTCATTGCTGCTGTTTTTTTGATTGGTTGATTGGTAGATTAGTTTGGATTCTGTGCTTTTGAGTAACGGATGCGTAGGGTTGATGGGCTCTTCGATGTATGTTTCCGATTGTTGTTCTGCATGATTGTAGATTTGTATTAGGGTTTGGTGTGATATTCCCAAGATTTTGTCGAATCCGGTCTTTCTTGGTAATGGGGTATTGTTTTTCCGATCATCTTTTTATTGCTTTTTGGGGTCTGTGTTCTGAGAGTATTTACTCTTGTCATTGATGAAAGAGGAAGCCACAGGATTGGAACCGCTTGTTTACTTACTTCTGTGGTCTGTATGATAATTGGTGCATAAATGTCTTTTACGTGTTAATGCATACTTGATTGGGACTGAGGAGTCAAGAATCCAGTTTGCGCGATTTTGGTTTTCAATCATTCGGGTGTTGGAAAACCTTATCCCTTTCTTGTGCGTTTGAAGCAATTGAATATTCTTAATTTTTATATGTCTTCATTCTCGATCTGACTTCATCTATGGATGTAAGTGTTTTCCCTTTCATTTTCTTCAACTTCTGGCCTGACAACTGTTGTGTTTTTGGTTGTTCAGGAGCTTTGCTGGAAGGGTGGCTGCAATCTGCAGATTGTGAAAGTGAGATTCTTTTATGTCCATACAGGCCATTTTCATCCCGGTAGACATTGGATTGCTAGGTAATCGTTGTCTGCTTTCAAGGAAAAAGGAGCGGCCTCTGTTGCATAAAAAAATCAGCTGCATGCATACTGGGCCATTTAACAAACACACAGAACTTCATGGTTGCTTCTGGATGCAACCTTTGACCAAAAGAGTGAAGTCTTTTCTCGCTGAAAGATCTTTGGCAGGCATCAGCAGCTCTTCGTACCCTCTTCAATCCATCTGTTTCCCTCAGCAACTCTAAACAACTCTGAACTTAGATTTACCTTTGTTCGAGACAAGATGGCGTTGCAGAACATTGGTGCTTCAAACAGTGATGATGCCTTCTACAGGTATAAGATGCCTAGAATGGTTACCAAGATTGAGGGCAGAGGTAATGGCATCAAGACAAATATAGTCAACATGGTTGACATTGCAAAGGCCTTGGCTCGGCCAGCTTCTTATACCACCAAGTACTTTGGCTGTGAGCTTGGTGCTCAATCAAAATTTGATGAGAAAACTGGCATTGCTCTTGTGAATGGCTCACATGAGACTGCAAAGCTTGCTGGACTTCTGGAAATCTTCATAAAAAAATATGTTCAGTGCTACGGCTGTGGGAACCCAGAAACTGAGATACTCATAACCAAAACTCAGATGCTTCAACTCAAGTGTGCTGCCTGTGGATTTATATCTGATGTGGATATGAGAGACAAGCTGACCACTTTCATTTTGAAGAACCCACCGGAATCAAAGAAGGGGTCAAAGGACAAGAAAGCAATGAGGAGAGCTGAGAAGGAACGGCTAAAGGAAGGTGAGGCAGCAGATGAGGAGTTGAAGAAAGTGAAGAAGGATGTCAAGAAGAAGGGCACAACTACTACCTCAAAGGATGTCTCATCCAAGGCTGCAAGTACTAAGAAGAAGGCAAGTGGATCTGATGAGGAACGTGTGTCACCTACACATAGTAATGATTATGAGAAAGAAGACCACGAGGATGATGGTGATGATGACGACGATGTTCAGTGGCATACTGATACATCTGCCGAGGCAGCCCGCCAGCGCATCCAGGAACAATTGAGTGCTGCTACTGCTGAAATGGTTATGCTTACTACCATTGAAACCGAAAAGAAGGCCAAAGAAGCTGCGAAAGCCAATGGCAGCAGCCCGAAAAGTGCTGTTTCTCCTATAGCCGAGGAGAAATCCAAGGAGAACGGGAAGACGAGTTCTACCAGTTCTCCAACCAATGTGTTGAAGGAAAGCATCGGTAAAGGAATTGCTGCAAGCCAGTTGCCCGGTCTTCTGGATTCACTGCCTGGTTCAGGTCAGGAAAAGATGGATGCTTTATTTTTGGCCTTGTTCGATGGTGTCGAGAAGGGACTTGCGAAGGAAGTGGTCAAGAAGAAGAAGTATCTTGCTGCTGTTGCAGCCCAGGGTGGAGATTCACAGCTGCTTGTACTTGGTTCCATCCAGGGTTTCTTTGAGAAATCTGGTGCAGGGAAGGAGGTGGCTCTTGTTCTCAAAGCTCTGTACGACGCCGATGTTCTAGAGGAGGAGCACATTCTGCAGTGGTACGGGAATCTCAGGGGAGGCAACAAGGAATCCAAGATCGTGAAGAGTGCTGAGCCGTTTATTGATTGGCTCCAGAATGCTGAATCGGAGTCAGAAGAGGAGTGATTTGCAGGGGGTTGTTCTGTCAGTTGTCGTAGTCACTGATGCTGTTGTTTGGGGTCGGCAGTTGTCTTGAAGAATAAAGTGTCTGTTGGGACTTGGGAAACGCTACAATTGTGTCTTTTTGTT